AGGTGGAGTCAAGATTCCTAACTTCAATTAAATGGGTTCCATGAAGATCCTTGACGAAATCGCTAAATCGGGGTTCCAAAGCGGAATTGCCATCTAGGGTGAGAGATTATGATAGCTATGGAGGAGATGGACCTCCTGTAATAAATGAACTATGTTACTCTAAGAATAGTTTGCAAGCACTCCAAGTTTTCCCTCGAGTGAATGGAGTGGTTACAAATAGAAAATATTTTTGTTGTTATTGGAGGGGGAGAGAGGCGTGACAAGAATGGAAGAGGATATAGGGACCTTGGCTCTTCATTATTCTATCAAATTATGAAAGGAAAGATATAGCAGTTTTTTAAGGACTCAAAAGCTCGTCTAAATTTATCAATGGAAAAAGGTCATTTGAAGTCTATAGGGTGCTTGCTTTCTCCCAGTGATTCAAAAAGTGGACCGCCCAACTCCTAGGCGCCCCCCTAGGCGGTCCAGAAGGCCTAGGCGCATCGCCTAGGCCTAGGCGGCCAATCTGGGCAGCAGTCCCTGGACGGCCACCTAGGTGGGCACCCAGCCCAAAGTGGGCGCCCAGGGCCTGTTCCCGCTTAGGCGATACGGAACCCGCCTAGACGGGCGCCCTGCCCAGAGGCAGAATATTTTTTTTTGGTTAGAAGGATGGTTTTAAGTTCATTTCAAATCTAAAACTTATTGGAGCCCATTTTAAAGAGAGAAAGCCTTCAAGAAACTAGTTTTTGGTGATTTCTTTAAGATCAAAGGGTTTCTCAAAGTTGACAAAAATTGATCAAAACATCACCCATTGATATTAGATTTAATTTTTAATGTTTTATAAATCTATTGGGGGGTTTTTTAGAAGATTTTGAGTCCTTGGATGCATCTTTGAGGTGGAAGTTTGAAGATTGAGCAATCAAACTCAAAATAAGTGCCCTAAATACCTAATTTTTATTTTTTATACAATATGTTCTTTTTTTATTCAAATGGACATCCTTTATGGATTCGACTGGGCCGCCTAGGACCCGTCTAGCACTTTTTGAAACACTGTTTTCTCCTGATTTCAAAAAGCGCTAGGCGACACCTAGGCGGTCGGGGGGTTCAGGCCGCCCAGCTCCTATGCGGGAGCCTAAAACCTAGGCGGCCTGGTAGAAATTTTTTTTTGTTTTGGGTTTTCTCTATCTAAAATAGCCTCTAATGGGTTTTAGATTTCAAGTGAACCTAAAACCCACAATTTTTCCCTTTTAGTATTAAAAAAATGACCCAAAACTACCCTCAAGGAGCCGCATTTCTGCCCCTGGGCGGGGCGCAGGCCTTGAGCGGCTGGCCGCCTAGGCGGGTTTAGGCAGGCACCTAGGCGAGCGCCCAGGAATATCCGCCTAGTTTGGCCGCTTAGTCCTGGGCGATGTACCCAAGCCTTTTGGTTCATTTAGGCGTTGGGCGGTCTGTTTTTTAAAACTATGCTCAGAAGTATGAAATCTTTTGGCAATACATAC